AAAGACACACTTGTGTAAAGTCGTGATGACGCCCCGCTTTGCCATCACTTGCTGCAGAGGATCACGTTACATTGCTTAGCCAATCAGAGCTGCAGAGGAGCACTGATTGAAGGAGTTCCACTCTCAGCATGGATTTGAACTTGTGTCTTTAATTACTTCAGCAAAGCTCACAGTTTTTACCAAATTCTGTAGCTTTCGGTGTACTTCTAAATCTGCTCCTTAGTCACATCTTTTCGGAGTTAGTACTGCCTCTAGTGGCGTGGAGGTGGTAACACAACTAACATAATACATTATTAAATTCAGAATACCGCAAAGTCTTTATTATTTATTAGACATTTTTCATTCTCTTAAGAATGTAGAGCTAATTAAATGATCTAAACAAGACCTTAAAGTGGTTACAGTTTCTCTCGATGGCCAACCTGTTGAAACTGTGGTAACTGTGGTACATTTGGGTCGTCCCTGGACAGTCAGCTCAACTTTGCTGAAAACACTGACTATATTTTGAAGAACTGTTCTCAGAGACTCTACCTTTTAAGAAGACTTAGTGATCATGGGGTGACCCAACTAGACTCTAGTTGGGGCACCCCTATGTCTTAAATTTTGGGGGAAAAAATAATATTTTATTTATCACTACAGAAGGGTTCAGTGAATGCACATATGAAACTGGTGGGTTCGGTACCTCAAAAAAGTTTAAGAACCACTGGTTTAGGAGCTAATATCTGGCTCTAGGACCCCGCGGACTTTTCCCTCTCCTCTTTGTCTCCACCAGTCAGATCAGATCCTCCTCCTCCTCTTCCTCCTCTGTGGTTTCATTCCGTGTCTCTCTCTCTATCAGCAGCGGTCTGGATGCTCGCAGGGACAGAAACATGGCTGTGAATCTCGCCAAGAACAGACTGGCCCTGCTGACCGCCTACCAGGACGTCATTGACGAGACCTCGGACACCGACTGGTGAGTCCCGCAGCCTGACAGCCCTCCCACCGCAAACCCTCGTGTCGCTGCCTCTTTGCGGGGCTTTTCTCTGGATCTTTTTGTGTTGCGGGGTTGAAGATGCGCAGGGGCACCTTTGGGTCGCATCATCATTATGAATTATAATAATATAATGTGGAGCGACGTAGAGTGCGGAGGTTTTTAACTCCAAACTATTTACTTTCTGGTTCTCGGGGCTGTTCTCCTCCATCAGCTACGGGGCTGCAGGAAGCCTTGCAGCCGTGGAAGTGAGAGTTTTTCCGGGCATTTTTCTTTCTGGTCCGAGCCGCACTGCAGAGTCTCGTCCTGGTTGCTTTGTTTGTTGCTTCAACAGATTAATCCAGCAGGGAGCAGTTTTCAGGGGTTGACTGGCACAGTTTGGGTGAGCCAGGAAGGCCTGGTCCAGGGTGGGGTGTGTGCGTGTGTGCGCGCGCGCCTGTGTGTGTGTGTGTGTGGCGGGGGGAGGAGGTAGGACGCTGAGCCCCAGCATCCCTGAACCAGGGAGGAGGAGAGGGGCGAGGCCGGTGGGAGGAGACAGAGGGTTGAAGGGCCTCCACCATCACTCTTTGTGGCTTTGCATCACTCAGAAACGATGTGAAGGAAGTTCTTCATAATTCCTTTAAACGTGGTCCAGATCAATAGTTCAAGAACTACCGCATCAAAAGCTAATTTCTATGCTAAACCTCTGATTCACTTCAATTTGTTCTGAACTTTGACTGAACCATTCTAACACAGGAATACCTCCAAAATCGAAGACATGTAGCTCCATCCATCTTCCCATCAACTCTCTTCCTGTACTATTAAAGGGGCAGTATGATGTAAAATGGATTATTTTAGTTTTACATCATGTATGATGTTATTCCCTCATCAAAAACACTCCTGGAGTGTTGCTTGATTCTTCCATACATGTTTGAGAAATCCTCATATGAATTCAAAGCTCCTAAGAAAGACAGACGTTCTGTTGCAATGCTGAAGGCAGCAGGTTGAAAAGAGCAGGAGTTTCTTAAAGAGACAGTCCCAGTTTCAAAGTGTCAAATTTCTTCAGTCATGTTTGACATTGTACAACATTTTTGTAAAAACTGAAGGTAACATGATTGTAGTGGTGGCCGATATAGCTCAAAAATAACATTTCATATATGTTGGATTCATAATATTCTTAAATAAAAAGTGTTAAAAAAAACCATTTCATTTTTATAGCTAATTTGATCTTCAATTCTGTTTCCCTCTTAAAAAATACAAATGACAGAAAATATCTTTAAAAACTGGCTTTTATTTCAATAAATCCATCTGTGAGTTGACTTGAATTCAAAGTTGAAATAAACAGAAGCTGTAAAACACAATTGTCAAACAAGATGGTAGTTCTTGGGTGAGTTAGCATCACTATGGAACCTCAAGGAGTTCATTGATGGAAAATAAATAAAAAATTCCAAAAACTAAATCTACAAAACAGAAAATTTGAGATAATGGATTTATCTTCCAGCCCTACTTGATTTTGCTATAAAGTGGTACTATATGCCTGGAAGATAGTACCACCCCTTTAAGATCAACATCCCACAGCTTAATATGTAACCGTTTTTTGTCAATACAGTGAAATCTACATCATGTTTTTATTGAACCTAAAATTATATTTTTGTTCTGACTGCTGCATTTCTCACCTGAGCTGTGAATCTCTGGAGCTCCTCCATAGGCTTCCAACTGCTTCAAAACTTGAGATTTTGTTTTTCTTACATAATCCTGCTTTAAATCTTCCAGCGGTTATCATTACTGAGAATTAAAGCAGAGCTCTGATTGTGAGTTGACTTGGATAAGATACTACAATAAGAGGCATTACCCTTTAGTTGTAGATTAATGCTGACTTTCTAACTAATATTAACAGGCATTGCTGGGGGTAATCAATACCTCTGTAGTTGTTTTCATCCAACCAGGAAGCCCTGAAGGTCTGACTTGTTTTTTTTTTTTACACAACCCAGAAGAGGAATGTTTCTGGTGAATCCCAAAGAAAAACATTGGCTTTGTGTTGCTGCAGGCGCGTTCAGTTCTCATCCTCCACTCCTGTTAGGGGTTTGAAAGTTTTAGTTTTTTTTTTTTTTTAAAGAGGAAGGACTGCTCATGGCAGAAAAGGTCAAACCAGACCTCTAGCAGAGCGATCTGAAAGTTAAACTGTAAACTTTGTGCTCGATAAAGCAACAAGACGACATGTTGTGTGATTAAAGGTGGAGTCTGTGAAATGTGCAGATAGGCCAAGCTCAGGTTTCAGATCCCGTTTTCCAGTTTGTTTGCGGTCAAACACTCGTGAGTCACCGTCTTTACAGTGAAATGTGAACTGCTTCCATCTGTTGTTGGTCACTAGTGTGAATCAGGTTCTGCTTTGAATCGGTTTTGGTTCCATGTTTTTTTATTTCTCACTCTTTGGGGTCATAGCTGGAGAGCAGCATCAGTGTTTACTGCAGAGCAAATTTTACTTCAAAATCTTTACTCATTGATGCTGTCGCTGAAAATATCGCCTCGTCAGGGATCTTGTTCATTTAGAGCAGTGGTTCTTAACCTTTGTTGAGGTACCGAACCCACCAGTTTCATATACGCATTCACTGAACCCTTCTGTAGTGATAAATAAAATATGATTTTTTCCTCCCAAATTCAAGACATAAGGGTGACCCAAGTAGAGTATAGTTGGGTAACCCCAAGATCACTAAGTCTTCTTAAAAGGTAGAGTCTCTGAGAACAGTTCTTCAAAATATAGTCAGTGTTTTCAGCAAAGTTGAGCTGACTGTCCAGGAACAACCCAAGGTATTTAAAATTTGCCACAGTTTCAACAGGTTGGCCATTAAGAGAAACTGGAACCACTTTAAGGTCTTGTTTAGATCATTTAATTAGCTCTACATTCTTAAGATAATGAAAAATTAATAATAAATAATAAAGACTTTGCGGTATTCTGATTTAGTAATGTAATTATATTAGTTGTGCTACCACCCCTATGGCACTCGAGGCAGTAGCAACCCCGAAAAGATGCGACTAAGTAGCAGATTTAGAAGTACACCGAAAGCTACAGAATTTGGTAAAAACTGTGAGCTTTGCTGAAGTAATTAAAGACACAAGTTCAAATCCATGTTGAGAGTGGAACTCCTTCAATCAGTGCTCCTCCGCAGCACTGATTGGCTAAGCAATGTAACGTGATCCTCTGCAGCAAGTGATGGCAAGGAGGGGCGCGTCATCATGACTTTACACAAGTGTGTCTTTACCTCCGTGCAGAGGCTCCGCCGAAACCCTGAGACCGACTCATCGAACCCCTGGGGTTCGATCGAACCCAGGTTAAGAACTACTGATTTAGAGGATGGCTTCCTCTAAATTAGTCCCAGTGGTGCAGAAATGTCTGTATGTGACATTTATGTTGTTGACAATGATGGGAAATGATGTTTTTTTTTCTGTTAAAATCTCCAGAGGCGCCATAAAAAACAACCAGTGTGAGTTTGTTTCGGAGTCGAGTGAGTTTGAGGGTTTCCAGAGGTTTCCTTGTGTTGGATCTGCCGTAGCAGAGAGACGATGCTCTGGGCCTCGGGCCTGCCCCTGATTTTTATACTTGATGGGATCTGAACAAAGACAGAGATGTGCAAACACTGCTGACCCCAAACAACACGGGTCACCCCCACCTAAACACCGCCATCTGACCTGCTATCTTTCCTTTGGTCTTTAAAGATAAACAGAGGAAGTGGTCTGTTCTCAGGATTAAAGCTCAATAATTTAAAATGACATTAAAAATCCTCCACCGTCATTTAATGCCTAAATTAAGATTGTTATTGAACAAAAGTGGCATAAAATCAAATATTATTTTTGATGTGTAAATTCCGAAACAATTTTATTCCAGTAATTCAGTTAAAAATATGAACCCTGTAATAAATAGTAATATATTTTAAGTCAAGTGTAAATTTATTGCCAGTTTGCCTGAAGTTTATCTTCACCGCTGGCTCACATCTGTTGTCAACCCATAAGATGTTGCCATGTTGTGCAAAAAAAGAGAAAAGTTTTGGCTGTACTACAGCGTACTGCAGCACATGGACCTACTTCACACTATGCCCAGATTTTTGTAAAAAAAAAAATGTTGGTTTTATGTAAAATTCCAGTTTTCATTAGCTATAAGCCATAATTATCAAGATAAGCAGAAATAAGCTGTCAAAGTTTATCGAAATCTATATAAGACTTTTACAATTTGCTTATATTCTAATTTTCTGAGATGAATCTACAGAAATCATTATTTGTACAGCAATATCACAACACCTTTCTCTCTTGCTCTCGATGAAGGCGGATGCTTTTTTCCTCTGCTCCCTCCCTGCCCATGCCTGCCCTGCTTTCTCTGTTTTTGTCCTGTCTTTTTCTATATTTTTGGAGCCTTTCTTTCCACATCATCCAAATCTACAAATTATGGATCTGGTCAACGGATCTCTCAATGCAATTGATCAAATTTTTGACGAAAAGTCTGGGCACAGGAGAGCCCCCCTGTCCCTGCTGGGACACACCCAGCAGGATTCACCCTGGATTTATTCATGATAACAAGATTTCTGCTGTTTGGAGCTTGTGGATTCCTGGCTTATCGACAAATTTGTGACAGACTTGGCTGAACTAGCGAACACTCAGACTGTTGGTGTGGACAGAGACTCAAGTTGAATGTGAGTCTTGCTGAGACTCGCAGCCCAGCTGAGGACTCTAAAACTCACTAATGAGTTGGAATCGATCTTGGAGAAGTTGCTGGTTTCGGCTCAGTGGAACGACCAAACTAATTTGGATGATTGAGAACTGAGATGTATCGGAGAGACTTTAGGAAAGATTGAAATTTATAATCTTCCCGACCTAAGACATTCTGTATCTGAATTGGCTTTCCCCATGTGGCCTTGGAAGGGCTGCATATTTCTAATCTCCTTGAAGACATGTAAACACAACGCTCTTCCCTCCGCATCCCCTCCTGTTTCCATGGAGCTGTGGAGCTGAGC